AATATAATAATAATAATAATGAATAGACGGATTAAAGCACCTGCTTAGGCAGACGCAGGGGCTGGGAGTTCGATCCCTTTGCCTGCCATGCTGGCCCCAACCCCGGGGTGCACTGAGATGGCAATTGAGACTGGACATGGTGGCACACGTCTGTAATCCCAGCACTTGGGAGGCTATAAACAGGAGGATCGCTACAAGTCCAGTCTATGCAGTGAGATCCTGTAGACCCTGTAGACCCTGTCCTAACATATAAAGAAAAAATAAAGAATAAAGAGAAGCTGGGCATATTGGTTTACACCTGTAATCTTAGCTGCTTAGGAAGCTGAAGTAAGAGGATCCCAATTTCAAGCCCACCTGTACAACTTAGTCATACTGTCTCAAAATAAAAATAAAAAATGAGGGCCAGCAAGATAGGTCAGCAATTCAATCCCAGTTCCAAAAAAAAAAAACTCAGCAGACTAAGTCCCTGCTTAGTCAAGCACAGAGACCAGGGTTCGATCCCCAGTACTGCATGCCACACCAACCCTGCCCCTGGCTCACTGAGCCAGTGACAGAGTCTGGGCATGACGATACAGCCTATAATCCCAGTCCTGGGGAGCTTGAAAACAGGAAGATCACTACAAGTCCAAGCTGCGTAGTTAGACCTGGTACCAAATACATTAAAAAAATAATAAAAAGGGCTGAGGTTATATAAAGTTCAGTGGTAGAGTACTTGCCAGTCTTGCCTGTGGCCTTGGGTTTGATCCCTAGTACTATAAAAGAGAGAAAGAACTCTTCTGAAAAGATAAATGCTGTGCTATAGAAATTTCTTGGGTTTTTTTTGTATGTGTGAATATTATAAAAATATGAAAATATCTGATAGCTTTTTTTCTTGAAGTTGCATATTTATCACTAGATAAATACACTTGTACTTTGGAAGTTCTGGCTAGCTGTAATAGAAAATAACAAATAGTCATATGAAGGCAGTAATATGGTAATTTAGATTGCACTTTCATCAGATTTCAAGGTAATATGGAAGGGGAATAATTACTGTATATAGTATATTATTTTTAAAAAAGAATAAAGTTGTATCAATAAAACCAGATAAACTCTTAGAGGTTTATATGAGGAGATATTAAAAGTGTAGTAGTCCATTAGTTGGACGTGGTTGGGCATGCCCAAAATCCCAGCATTTGGGAGGCTGATGTAGGAGGATCACCAGGAGTTCAAGGGTAGCCTGGGGTACATAGGCTTGAACTATCTCCCCAGTGCTCCCTGTGCCCAAATTTAGCAATCATTTCTGATTTTGAAATTAAGAATAGGGGGCCACAGAGATAGTTCAGTGGTCTAAGTGCCTGCTGAGGCAAGTACAAGGACCCAGGTTTGATCCCCAGCACCATGTGCTGTGCTGTCCCAACTTGGGTCCGCTGAGCAGGCCACCAAGACCTAGTGTAGTGGTGCACTTCTGTAGTCCTATGCTGGCAAGGCAAATCACTGTGAGTCTAAGATGCATAGTGAGACCCTGTAGTAAATATATAAAATTAAAAATAAAAAAAAAAATAGGAATAGGGCTGGGTGAGTAGCTCAGTAGTAGAGCTTAGCATTCATGAGGCCGAGGTTCAACCTCTAGGAACATGGGGAATAGGGATAGAAAGATACTTTATTTACTGCATAAATGTGAATATCAGAATAAAAACTCCCATTAAAAACATTCTCACTGAAGATAAAAACCAGACAAGCGTGCCTGTGATGGGCACATATGTCTAACATTTTGGTGGTCAAATGGGCAGTTTTTTTAAAAAATGAAGACAAGTATTGGAAAAGAAGAGGCAGAGTATGTTACAGGCTAAGGGTCTATGTCTGGTACACCCAAGAAAATTAACTGAAAAAAAGTTAACAGCAATTGAAGTCAATGGTCAGTTAAACAATAAAAAGTTTAAAAAATAAAAGCCAGAAGTTAGTTGAGGCAGGAAGATCACAAGTTTGAGTCTAACTTGAACAACTTAACAACGTAGAAATACTTTTTTTTCAAAATTAAAAAAAAAAAAAGTGGGGGATGTAGCTCTGTGGAAAAGACCTAGGTTCAATCCCCAGTGCCACCAAAAACAAAAAACAAAGTTTTCCTACATATGGACAGTAATATAGTAAAAATATAATGAGGAGGGTAGGCTGTAGCTTAGCCATGACCATGCACAGGACCCTGTATTCAGTTCCCCCTACAAAAAATAGGAAGGAAGTTAGGAAAGGGGAAAAATGGAAGAAAATATAAAATCTTTATGTACAAATATAATAAATGTTTAGGACTGTATGCGTAGAATTCTACTGAGAGAAACAGAAAAGGATGAACTAACTGAAGAATTGTTCTGCTTTTGGATGAGAGTATTTTCCTTTAAATCAGCTCTATCAGGCTGGCCAAATAGCTCAGCGGATTAAAGCGCCTGCTTAGGCAGACACAGGGGCCAGGAGTTTGATCCCTTGGCCTGCCATGCTGGCCCTACCTCCAGGGTGCACTGAGAAAGCTATTGAGACTGTGGTGGATTGCGCCTGTAATTCAGCGCAACAGGAGGATCACTACAAGTCTAATCTATGCAGTAAGACCCTGTACACCCTGTCCTAAATACAAAAAATAAATAAATTAGCTTTATCAGTTGTTATCCTAATGGAAATAGCAGTGGGTTTTCTTTTTTATTTTTAGGGAAGGATCTACAGGGTGTTCAGGATCTCACTACTAGATCAGACTCGTAGTGATCCTCCTGTTTACAGTCTCCCAAGTGCAGGGATTACAGGTGTGCGCCACCATGCCCAGTCTCAGTTACTGTCTCAGCGCACACCAGAGGCGGGGCTGGCATGGCAGGCCCAGGGATTGAACCCGTGGCCCCTGCGCCTGCTTGCAGGTACTTTAATCCACTGAGCTATTTGGCCAGCCCCTGCAGAGTGTTTTTCATGGTTTCATTTTTAAAAAAAGTACGGCACAGTAATACTAAAGTAAATTTGGAATCATGCATAAAAATAATCAAGAAAAGATTTGCATTTTAAAAATGAAACTAAGTAGCAACTAATTCTAGTCAAATACTAACACCTGTTAAAAACCTAGAATAGACAAAAATTGGGGCCTAGAGAAAGAAAATTTATAAAGCATTATAACTGAATAGAGTTCATATATAAACCCAAGTATATGTGGAAATTGAGTTTCTGTTAAAGTATTAAAAAATAAAGGAAGGGGCTGGTGAGATGGCTCAGTGGTCTAAAGCACCTACTTAGAGCAAGCTCAGCAAAGCACAGGGACTGCGGTTCAATCCCCCAGCACCACATGCCAGCCAGCCCCGCCCCCTGGTGGGCTGAGCTGGCCACACACACACACACACACACACACACACACACTAAATAAAGTTATATAATTTAAAATAAATAAATAAATGAAAAAAGATTCACAACAAAGCATAGTTAAAATTAGTAAATTTTTCAGCTGTATAAAAGGTTTCCTGTTTGCTTAAAATACAGAGAAATTATAGGAGTAAATAAGAAAAGAGCAATTAATAGAAAATGAGCAAAGGATATAAACTTACTTTAAAAATAAGTGGCAGGGCCAGGGAGATGGCTCAGTAGAATAAGTGCTTCCTTGGCAAGCGCAAGGGTCTGAGTTTAATCCCTGGTTCTGCAAAATAAATAAATAACAAAGGACTGGAATATGGGTCAGTGTTAGAGTACTTGTCTAGCATGTGTGAGGCCCTGCCTTGATCCCCAGCAAGGGAAGTAGTGGCTAGAACCATAAAAAGATGCTCAGTCATTCTCCCAAATAAAATATATAAATCAAAATGAAATATTTTTACCTATCGTTTTTTACCTGTTAACATTTTGCAACCCATTATTGGCAGAAGTATACAAAATAGGCACTCATACACTGTTGACAGGAACATAAATTGGTGTAGTCTTTCTGGAGGGCAGTTTAGTGCTATTACAATTTAAATACTGTGCTGTGTATGATTCTTCGTCCACTTTTTTGACTAGGCATTCACTTTTTTTTTTTCCTTTGGAACTGAGGTTATGCCTTATGCATGCTAGGCAAGTCCTCTACAACCAAGCTTTCCTAAGTGCATAGTCTGGACTAAGACTCTCCTGTCTTAGCCTCCTAAGTAGCTGGTATTGCAGGCATGCCCCTCACCATGCCCAACATTCATTCTTCTTCTTCTTTTTTTTTTTTTTTTTGTGGAGCCGGGGATTGAACTCAGGCCCTTGCGCTTGCCAGGGAAGCGCTTATTCCACAGCCTTCTCCCTAGCCCCTGAAATGTTTTACCTTCTTTTCTTTTTTTTTTTTTTTTGGCCAACATTCATTCTTTAAGTACATCTTTTAATGGAGTCTTTCGTTTTGGGGTTTTTTGTTTGTTTGTTGCCTGTTTACAGTTCTGGGGTTTAAACCCAGAGCCTTGCACATGCTAGACAAGCACTCTACCACACAGCTACATCCACAGCTCTTTTTTTCCCATTCCCTAAACCTCTCTTCTCATCTTGCCCGCCTTACTTACAAAAACTTTGTTTTCATTTCAAGAGTCCAAGAATGTTTATTGTAGTACTTTGTAACAGCAAAACAACCTCGAGCTACTAAAATGTTTATTTAAGGAATTAGAATGAATAAAGTAATATTCTGTGCAGCTTTTTAAAAGAATGATATAGCTGAGTAGTAAAACATCTGTTTAGTGTGCTTACTGTCCTGTGTTCAGTCCCCAGCAAAGGGAAAAGAAAGTTTGTAGGTTAGATTTGTTTGACAATATGGATTGATTGATTTTTTATTCTCTAAAGCATATTCTGAAAAGCAGATAAAGATGAAAATTAAAATCTCATCTCCAAGAGACCCTATGAACCTTTTAAAAAAATATTATAAAGCATGCAAGGGCTGGGGAGATGGCTCAGTGGAATAAGCACTACCCTGGCAAGAGCAAGGGCCTGAGTTCAATCCCCAGTTCCGCCAAAAAAATTTTTAAAAAATAAAGCATAAATCAGAATGTACACTATGATTTCTTTAACAAAAAAATAGAAAGAGATAATGATAAATTTTTAACATTTCCTGAAAGCATGAAAAAGTAATAATAGTTATAAGTGGTGGAATAAAATATATTTTTATTACTTTACCTTTAATACTGTGGTTGCTCTTACTATGGTCATGTCTATATAATATTTTTTAAAAGGTTCATAGGGTCTCTTGGAGATGAGATTTTAATTTTCATCTTTATCTGCTTTTCAGAATTAAAGTAGTAACTATCAGTGTGTTTTAGAAATATAGTCATACAAAAGCAAAGGAAAATGTTTGCAGATTATTCTTTCCCTTCAACCCTCTTTATTTATATTTCTTTTGATTAATTCAGGAATTAAATTTCTAGGAGCTCCAAAAGGAGGAAATTTGAAAGTACGCCCTGACAGGTAGAAATAATTAAGTAGAATAAACTCTCCAACCTTTATTCTAGGCCAGAAGTGGTAAATCTATGGCATCATGCTGCAGTGGGCCATTAGTTACCTTTGAAAACCCAAAAAGGGTCATCATCATTGCTGTAAGATATTTTGGAGTCATTTTTTTCTTTGTAATTTTGAATCAAAAGACAAGGTACTAAAAGATAGGAAAAGTAGTGTTTGGAAATTTACAATACAATAACAATACATAACTGGTTCAGTAAGATGAAAATACATAATTAGTTCATGTTGAGACTGGATGTTGATTTATTGCAGGATTATACACATGAATTCCATAAAACCAAAGCAAACTTTGTGGCAATACGAGAAAGAGAGAATCTCATGGGATCAGTGCGAAAAGATATTGAGTAAGTTATCTTTTATATTATTTTACAAACCATTTATTCAGATTTAAAATATATTTGTAGCTAGTTGCAAATTGAGTAGCAAAACCAGGATTTGAATTTCAGGGTTTCTAATTTCCATTTCACCGTTCTTTGAACGTTGCTGCTTTAATATAGTCCTGATCTACTCTGTCAGTCCCATCCCCTGCACCTCCTAGGTTTACTATTATTTCCTGACTTTTCTGTCTTACTACAAAATCCAGCTTAAATGACAGCTTCATGAGTTCCTCTCCGATCTCTTAGTGCTTTAGGCATTAGAACGTTAGTAATAGCTGAAGCTCTCCACATTTCTCTTGCTGATCACCACCCATCTTCTGATCTTCTCCTTTGCTGCACAATTATATATTCAGGGAGCTATTTATGCAGCCTTTATTTCTCTAAAATTCTCAGATATGTAATTTTCCTTAGAGATAATACAAACATTACAAAAAATTAAAGACTTCCAACATTATTATACTATTTTAGTTCATAGGTGTAAAGATTTTTCTTCCCTTTTCATCTGTAGTGATATATTCTAGCATTTCCTACATATTTTTGAAAATTTTTTCACAGCTGAACTTGCCTGACAAAATTGAGTCACATAGGCATCTAATTGAAGGTGAAGACATCCTAATTTTGAACTATCAGGTGATACCTATCATTGTTTCATTTATGACAAGTTTATGAGACTTAGATCTCATATTATGTGCGTTATGTGTATTCTAAGAAACATTTTCATAGAGATCCTTTATTTTGTTGTACTGTCATAACAGTAAGACAGGTGTAAAATTGTTTGTCCTTATGGTACATGTAGGTCTTTTTAATTTTTGTACAGTTGACTTCTAAATGCATTTTGAGGGCTGGAGAGATGGCTCAGTGGTCTAAAGCACCTACTTGGAACTAGCTTGGCAAAGCATCAGGGACCGCGGTTCAATCCCCCAGCACCACATGCCAGCCAGCCCCGCCCCCTGGTGGGCTGAGCTGGCCACACACACACACCACACTCTCTCTCTCTCTCTCTCTCTCTCTCTCTCTCTCTCTCTCTCTCTCAAATAAATAAAAAAAAAAAACTAAATGCATTTTGAAGAATGGAGTAAGAACCAAAATCCAATCCACTGTAATAACTTACATTTTGAAAGATTATAATAGTTCATTCATTAAACTGTTTGCCGAGTAAGACATTATATCAGGTACAACAGAAGGCAGGAATGAAAAGACTATAATTTGACCTTGTAGGACTTTATATAATTTAGGTGCTAGTGGGGAGGAAGGTATATATTCGATTACTGTAATACAAGGGAGATTGTGATTAGTGAGATGAAACATAATAATGACACCTGAGTTTTAGTTTTCGCAGTTTACACATTACATTTTCATAAAGTGTCTCTTTTTGGCTTCATAATATTTTGAGAAAGGTAGAAATTATTAATCTCATTTTATAAAACTTGGTACTGAAAGACTTGATTAAGGTTACCTGGCTATTAAATGACAGAATATAGACTTGATTTCAAGTTACCAGTCTTACAAGTCTGTGGTTGAATCATTCTACTTGTGGTGTTCTTTAGTGTGCTGCATAATAGTGGTACCACTCAGCCAATGGTTTGGGTTTAGTGGCATAACTATCTTTTTTTATTGCAGTGTTTGTGCAGTTTCCTAAGATTTTCAAAGTCTGTTCTTGATACTTCATGCTAACAGAAAACAGGAAGAACAGAAGTGTTTGCAGTAATGTAAAAGGCTTTTTAAAAATAAAGGAATGAGGGGGCTGGGAGGTGGCTCAGTGGAATAAGCGCTTTCCTGGCAAGCGCAAGGCCTGAGTTCAATACCCAGTTCTGCAAAAAAAAAAAAAACCAAAACAAAAATAAAAGAATGTTGGAGTGGTGTAGACTAATCTAGAAGTTCTTAAGTGTTCCCAAATTGGTCCTTCATTGAACACTTCATTTCAGTATTCCTTAGGCTTCAGTTGTTGGATGGCATATGCTGTTATGAAAGAAAGCACTTTCACTAGCTTCTCTTCTCCACTGCATGTATGACGTGCTAATCAGTCCAAGGTTGTACTTCTACTTAGAAAAATTAATATATAAAAGATAATATGCCAGCCCCACCCCACCCCCCACCCCTGTGCACTGAGACTGGGATTTAGACTGAGACTGGGTGTGATAGCTCACGCCTAGAGTCCCAGCTCTTTGGGAGGCTGAACACAAGCGGATCACTACAAAGTCTGATCTACACAGTGAGACCCTGTAGACCCTTACTAAAAAATAAAAATAAAAAAAAAAAGGTAATAGACAAAAAGAAATATTTTTGTTGTAGTTTAAGAACATGAGGTGTTTTTTTTGTTTGTTTGTTTGTTTTTACCAAAACTAGCTTTAATTTATCTGAAGCCATACAGAGCTACATAAAAAGTTTGTGAGAGGAAGCTGGTAGAGCCCAAGGCATGATCGAAGGCCCTTAGAAGTTCTCCAGCAGGCTCAGGATGCGCTTCTGCTCCGTCTCGCGGAACTCGGGACTCCGGCCATCCCCGATATTCTCTTCATACTCCTTGATGATATGCCTGACGATTTTGATGGAGCTTCCATGCATGTGTTTAGGATCTGGTGAACTCTCTGGCGAATCTGGGGGACGTTGGCATTGCAGATCTCTGCCATGATGTAGCAGATGTGCTGGAGAACAAAGAGCCCTGCATCTAGGCGCCGGAGGTAGAACTCATCCTCCAAGTCGTTGTCTATGATCTCGCCACGCCGGACTATGTCATGTTTTTCCCCTTCGATCTTCTTGTCGGCCACCTGCATTGCACCCAGATATTTAAAATGCAGCTCCATGAGTCTGTCAACCTTCTCACTGTCATTTTCAGTGAACTTATTCAGAAGCCGGGTTTGCTGCTGCCCTCTCAGTTTGCGCAGGAGGGAAGCCAGGATCGAACAGACATGCTCTTCGTGCTCCTTCTTAGTAGTTCCCACTTTCTTGATCTTCCTAGGAGATTTCATAAAGAGAGGAAAGATGGTTCGCAAGCCAAGAATGTCGACGAACTTATGGCAGTTGTCTGTACCCTCTGGTCCAATCATGGCATGGTCCAACACCTTCAGGGCACTGCTCCAGGAAATCTTCTTTTCCCTGAGCATGAGATTCATCAGTTGAAGGCCCTCGCCCTTTAGGAAGCGCTCACGATTGGAACTGAGCATCAGGCATGAACAGAGTGAATCAAACAGATTTTCCATCATCTCCTGTTCCTCAGCTGTACTAGGGTTGTGCCTTTTAAACACGGATAACTGCTGAAGAAGCACATCGATTCCATCCAGCTCTCCAAGCAATTCCCTGTTTTCATCGTTGTCCTGGAGCAGGATGGCCAGCACTTCACTGCAATACAGTTTGTTGGCATCAAAAGGCATCTTTGCCTTCAGCCTCTTCAGCAGCCACTGCAGGAGTCCCTGCTGGGCAGCCTCCGTACACATCTCAGGCCAAAACTCAGCCATGTTTTCTACAATAGCCAGAGTGTTGTGGACACCATCCGCCTCCTCTCGCACAGACTCATCCAGGCACTCCAGATTCTGCTCCAGCAGTGCTACCACCTGTCCGTCCACCAGAGCATCAATGAGAACTTCTGCTCCCTCTTCACTCTCATGGAGGGTGCCTATATTCGTTAACTCCTGAAGTAAATCAACCACAGCTATGGACACATCTGTATTATCGTGTCCCAGCAGCCCGAGAAGTGACTGCACAGCATTCAGCTCCACCAGAAGGTGGTACAGGTCTGGCATAGTGGCCACCACGTGCATCTCCTGAATGATGTCATTTAGGTCCAGCTCAGATTCCATGAACTTTTCTGGATTGTCTGGAAACTTGATTCTCAACTCTTGATTTTTATATGACCTCTTTTCAAATGTGAGGATCATTTTCTTCACTGAGCTTTCATCCAACAGTTCCTCCTCTTCCTCTTCCTCTTCTCCTTCTCTGTCAATAATCTGGAGCAGCCTTTTTTTGTCATCATCTGCTTCTTCAGCCACAGCCACTTCTTCTTCCCGATAGCGACCTCGTTCTCGAGGACCGTGTTTTCTGCTCCTCTTCCTCCTCCTCTCGGGGACGCTTTGTGCCCCTGTTTGGCTGGTAGCTCAGAAGTTCGCCCACGTCCATGCTTCTGGCCCAGCCAATCCCGGGAACCCTTGTTCCCCTAACTCACAGCTGAACCACGGGCTGCTCCAACATTAGGTTATTTTGAGAAGGATTTTTTTTTTTTTTTTTTTTTTTTTGGTAGGCTTAGCCTGCCATAAGGGTGGGTCTGGTATGGCATGTGGAGCTGGGGATCGAACCATGGTCCCCTGTGCCTGACTGGGTTTGCCCATGCAGGCGCTTAGACAACTGAGCTAACTGACAAGCCCCAAGAATATTAGGTTATTTTGATGTTAAAAAAAAGTCTTTTATGGGATAGAGCTAGGCTTATGGCACATGTCTGCAATCCTAGCTGCTTAGGAGGCTGAGGCAGGAAGAATGCAAGTTCAGGACCTGCCTACAACATAGAATGACCTGTCTGAAGAAAAAAAAAGGAGCGACATCACATTTATCTGTTTATGATAGCAAAGTGAAAAACATTTTAACTTTATTCATTCAAAACTAGAGAGGGCTGGGGAGATAGCTCAGTAGAATAAGCGCTGGTCCTAAATTCAATCTCCAATACTGAAAAAAAAAAAAAAAAAAAATAGAATCACTTAATCACTTTTGGTATCACTAGGATTAGTTGTTCAATCTAATTTTGAACTATCTTTCCAAAACTATTCTTAAATTTTCTTTATGTTGTTCTAGGTCATATAAAAGTGGATCTGGAGTAAACAACAGGAGAACTGAACTATTTTTGAAAGAACATGACCATCTTCGAAAGTAGGTATTATTGAGTGTATAAATACTATGTAGTTTCTATGCTTATTAGCTCATTTACTTATGTGACCAATATTTCATAAATATTTCATAGCTTATTATAATAAGTGCTTTATCTGTGCAGATTCATTTACTTCTCCTTATAACTCTACCCAGTAGAAATGGAATTGAGTGTTCCACCCATAATTAGGAAAGATACTATTCTGTTGAATTTTTTTTTTTTTTTTATCTGTAACATGTTTTTATTACATTGCTGTATTTTTCTCTTTGGTAAATCTATTTGCTCTAATGCTTCCAATGCTACAGTTCATTAGTAATATCAATTTTTTTTTTCTTTGTGGAACCGGGAATTTTACTCAGGCCCTTGGACTTGCCAGGCAAGCATTCATTCTACTGAGCTATCCCCTCCCACACCCAGTAATGTCAGCTTTATATGGAGTAATTAAACCATATATCGGGCTGGAGAGATGGCTCAGTGGTCTAAAGCACCTACTTGGAACTAG